GTTTCTCAGGCTCAATTTCCCGACCAGACAAGTGCTCCACACACCCAGGCTCCCACGAAATCATCCAGCTGCCCTCCATCTGGCTTTCACGTTCGGCCCAATCACGGCCACGGCCACAGCCACATCCAGACCTGCGTCAGCCCGGCTCTTGCTCCGAAGCCACCCAGCAGCGCCCGGGAGGGTCACACCAGGAAAACGGCAACAAAGCGCCTCATCAAGTAAGACCAGCCTCGCACATGAGTCAGTGTATTTACTCCTCGTGTTGTTTATATTAAATGCGGCTGCAAGTTTAACAAAGTCGCCATGTAATTTATCGCACATTAAGTGCAGCGGGGTGGCATTCTCTGGCCTCCGCTCTCGGAGTGAGATAGGGTTCATGGGATCGGTGAGTTCAAGAGGACACGGCTAATGCTAATGAGAGTTAGAATATGCGTGTAGCAGAGTGCTCCCAGTCTTTTGGCCGCAGGGTGTATCTGCCTGTTCAGTAAACAACCTCATCACAGGCCTGATTTCTGCCTGAACCGTAAACAGAGCGTGGTTCAGTGGAAGGGCCTGGGCTCCGAGCGCCGTTTAAATCCTGTTTGGTTTGGAGATAAGCTGAAGAGTACAGAAGGAAAAATAAAAGGAAAGGAGTGAAACTGGGCTGAACTGCCAGCTATTTCCCTCACTTATTTTATGACTTTATTACTGCAACATCTGGCCAAATTACACAACAACAGCAAACCTTTGTGATCAGGGGCTGATTGTTTGTTTAAAGCACGCTGTTGCAGTGCTGAAGGGCTCTTCACACTTGTTTCATGTGTAAGAGGGAAAGGACACAACTGGACCGGAACACAGACTGTTTTTACAGCGTTTGAGTTAAGCCCTTAAAGAAAGTGAATCATCCAAAGATCTGACAGTCCGCCTCTCCGTGTGACTTAATTCATTCATTGCAGCTTTGCAGGCCTGCTGACGGAGCGCCGAGAGAAGCCGTCGCTCTGCTGACGCGTTGCATTCAGTCATCCCGCTCGAGCGGACAAACTGTACCCGGCGAGTAAAGAGTTAAGAGGGCAGGGGTGCAGCGCCGGGGTTGTGTAGAATAGGTTAGGGCAGCCGGGTAGGTGCCGTGTTTGCTCCTGTGTGTGTGTCTTCCTGGCAGTTGCCGTGTTTACCCTCTGCATGTGGAATTCCAGAGCCCCCTCACACTCTCCTCTGTCCTGCATTTTTGTGGTCGACCAGTGTGACAGGGGAGAGTGTGGGAAAAACGGAAGCTTCAGGACCAAAAATGCGCTGATGGAAACAATGAAAAGAAAGAATAAAGAGAGAGGGGAAAAGAAAGAATGACAGCGAAAAGTAAACTCCGTCCAGGAGAAAGGAGATGATTGTTTGCAGAAAATGGTGGGATAATAAGTTGCTTCCCTTTATTTCCAGCGCTCATTTTAGGGGCAACTCAATACCTCTGTTATTGAGGCACATCTGAAATGCATCCCAGCGTAGGCCTAAGCCCCTCCAACTTATAATAGAATCACTGTGCTGGGTGTGTTCAAACAGTTCAAGGTTATCCAGCCCTCCAAACACCTTCCTCTAGCCAACTGCAAAAATGTTGCTTGATACAAATATACCAGCGTGACTTTAGCCTGAGCAGCGCAGCCGTGATGACCGCCGACAGTTGTTAGCCCAATCTATTTACCAGAATGGCATTCGCTTTTTGATCTTGTTTAGAAGAGGAGGGAAGATTTCAGTTGATACAGCCAAGCAGTTTCCTCTGTTTGGAGGCTTGCAACCCTACAAGAGGGCCATTCAGTCAGCTTGACTCCTGTCCAGTGATTGGGCTAAGTGACTAGTCAGCATTCACTTTTAAGTACAGCTGAATAGACCTTGGCAAACCCTCTGAGTGACAGCGCCTCTGATTTTCGGGCTCGGCTAACATACAGCGCACTTGCTGGGAGCAAATGTGCAGCACGTTGGTATCGTGCTCAACAGGGCAGGGCTCTCTCTCCTCTATCAACATACCACAGCTGCCAACTGGAGGGGCTGCAAGAACTCAAAGTGGTATGACTTCAGTGAAGGCTTTGAAAGGAGCAATTTGTAACACAAATAAATGAGCCTGTTTGGTATTTTGTTTGCAAGGTTTGGTTAGTCGCAGCTGTAACTACGGAAACCCGGGCTGTCGTGTGGCATTACTAATAGGGTGACAATTACAGCAGCGCCATTAATGTCAGCCTCGCCGCTGCTTTCACTCCCTATTAATCAGCCACAACAGTAGTTATTTTCACGGGATACTGTATACACACAGGAGCTGCCAAACGTGTGTTTATGGTTAAACTTTATCCCCTTTGGTCAGTCGGAGTTAACATTAAGACGCACTAACTACCTGGGTGCGCGAGAAAAGCGAAGCTGCGCATCAGGTACGTTTACACAAGGACGTGGGCTCCGTGCGAGCGGCGTGAAATGTTCGACTCTGGGCTTGTGTATCGTCTCTACATACTGCGAGTTCCGAATCGGTTCTCACCTGCAGCGCTCCTGGCCGCTGTCTGGCTCTCAAAGTGACAGAGTGAGAGACTGTTGACAAAGAAAGTGATGTGAAGAACCCAGAGGTCAAGTTTTTTTTTTCTTCCCCCCCTTCCACTCTCAATATGAAAGGGGTTGCTTCCTGTCGAGGTATGCCATGCTCAAAGTGGGCCAGTTCTATTTGTGGTTGTGTAATGGTATGAAAGAACAACTGTGCAGCCCCTTACAAGGAGGCAGTGTGTACCCTCATTACCTTATTAATGCTCCTTTGGCAAGCTGCTGTTCTGGGGCGAGAGGTTAATGCCAGCTAAGCTTTATTTATTGTTCCCCCTAAAAAAAAAAAAAATGCTTAACAGATTTAATGTATAAGGTTACAGACGTGTCTGCTCCTGCTCTATGCTCCAGTAGCTCTTGTAATGGTTTTCTCTGTGAAAACACTGTATTTGCTGTCTGATTATGTGAAAAGGGCTGTGTAATTCCTCGTCTGTGATCTTCAGACTCAAGTATGAAGCCCTGTTAAATAAATATACTACTGTGTTCACCATTCAACCTACAGTATGTGTAAGTTCCTTTTTGTCCACAGGCCAGCATATAGCTCTACTGATATTAATAATAATAAGCTTTATTTCAAGCACTGTGTTCCAAAGCGCTTCATATAAGGACTAAAAACAACAATAAGACAAGAATACAACAACAATAAAACAACAATAAATCACGAGATTAAAGATAAATCACACAGATATGAAAGCGCTTCTAAAAAAGATTAGATTTGTGATCGACTCTAATCTCAGCAGTCATTTCAGACTTGGGGATTGCAAAAGTATTGTGACCAGTCGGGCTCTGGAAATGACCAGAAGACCGCTATCTGTTGATCTAAGATGAGGTCCAGGCTCGTGAGGGGTTAGTAGATCCTCAATATAAGTAGAGGATTGGCAGCGTAAGGCCTTAAACCTGCAAAGTTTTAAAAACCAAAGCGACAATAAACAGGCAGCCGGTGCAGGGAGGCCAGTGTGGACACAGTAATCACCTCAATATTCCTTCCAGTGCAACAATCACATCACCCAGGACAAGGAGCAGGAATTTCTCCCCTTCTTGTCACAATAGCTCTCGAGAGGCTCTCAGTAAACACTCGGCCTCCGCTGACTGCACACAAAGAGCAACTATTTGAAATTGGCTGCACTTTTCTCCTGTCAGAGGATGGCTGGTCGGGCATTGTGCACACACACACACACACACACACACAGGCTTAAACAATCACATGCTGTCAGAAGCTGTTATATTTATGTATTTATTCAGGTTTCTGTCCCACAGCTTGTGGAGATGAGCTTTGAAATACAGTTCGTCTCTGCGTGACCCTTCGGGGGAATGATCGTTTTGGGTCTTCACGGACACTTCTCTCTTTGTCTGATTAACAGGCAGACGTCCTCGGAGAGTTCAGCCAGTGGAAGCGTGTCCAGCGGCCAGCAGGTGGTCTACGAGGCCATCTGCGGTAAAACAGGTGGGTTTGATAATGCGCTTCTGCATACGCTTAGTACTGTGCTGTGGTCCTGGGACGGGTGGGGTTGGGGGGGGATTTATACCCTCTGTATGCCAGTGTCAGTGATTACAGCCAGGCATAGTGGACATTCCTCATGGAGGACTGATAAGCACCACTGGGTATTTTTACCCAGCTCGCTCTCTCGGTTGTGTGCATGATGCATTTTGGACGCTGTAAGAAGTCACAGCATTGTCACAATAATAAAAAAAAAAAGGATCCAAACTTTAATCACAGCCTTATTAGAAGAAGTTTTATTGGTTATTATATTACAATACCTTGTGCCACAGTTCTCCCGAGAGTTACTGCCAAGAAGAGCTGAAGCAGCCAGAGCTGGATGGGCACAAACAGAATTTCCATTTTGGTAATTTTGCACTGTATATTCTACATGTGTCCAAGAGCAGAGGTCAGATTACCGTTGAAGGTTAAAGACGCGTAACAGCGAAGGCAACTTTTATATTTTTTTGTAATGAGATCCAGTGATGGGAACGGTTCGGGCATTCCCATCTGCTGGCCGTTCCCATGCAGTCGTAATTACCGTCCACGGGGCCAAAAGCCGTACCGAAAGAAATCACACTTCGCGCAAGAGGATGACAAATGCAACTCAGGCTCTGTGGGTTCATGCACTCACGTGTGCCCTGTCATCCTGCCTTGTTTCCACAGCCCGTTCCATCCTGAGCGAAGTGTTGAGCTTATTGCAGCAACTGTGACATTAAGCAGTTTGCGCTTATGCACACATCTGTTTGTCTGATCAGGGGGCTTTTTCCAGAGACGTACTATACATTAGCGTTAGCAAAACCGTACCGTTTCTCACATCATGTCGGTGTGGCGGCCGAGCCAAACGTGGAGATCAGCTCGTTGGAAAAAATACAGTAGCTGTGCGTCGACCCCACACAAACTCACATCCAAAAAAAAAAAAAACCTGTCCATGTGTCTGTGATCAGAATATTTCTTTTCATTCTGCCTCTTCTCTGCGCTCCCAAACTATGAAAGCTGGCTTAGGTTAACAAACATCTTATAAACTCATCAATTACTGTAACTGGATCCTTTGGGAGCAGCTTCTGAATTTCATGAATGCATTTTTTCCGTCGTTCAGGGTGCACAGGGTGGGGGCCGCGCTTCACTTTTGACTCAAAAAAAAAAAGAAAGAAAGAAAGAAACGAAACCAGTTAGCGGGGCAGGTTTACCCATGCACCGAGGACTGGGGACAGGGAGTCGAACAGAGACTCACTGTGGTGTTTTGAAGGTGGGGAAGGGGGGTGTTATTAGAAGGGGCACAGCCTTTGTGGAGCTTAGAAGTGCATCAGGTCTTTCTGCCTGCCCAGTGTACCTTTGCGGCGAGATGACTGAGCTCCCCTGATTGACTCTGACAGGCAGTTAGAGCGAGTCCAAATGGAGAGCATTCTCTATGATCAGCTGTCAGCCGTCATTAATCACACTCCCCCTTTATCTCTCTCTTGTGCGCTCCCTTAATCTCTTCCTCTCTCTCTCTGCTCGTACAACTCTCCCTTTATCCCCTGAAAACTTTTTTTCTCCTGCTCAGCCTCCCGCCCACCCCGACTTCTTCATCTGTGTTGATTTTTGACATGACATGAGGGCAGGATCTCGACGAGGACCCACCGACGCTTACAGAACCAGATTATATCGGCCACATGTGTTTTACAATGCTTCCCTTGAAGTTTCCTTGAAGTTCTCAGGGCTCCACAGTTGGTGACTGTGAGGAGATTTATTGCCGGAGTTTGAGAGGGAAATGAATGCTGCACTTGTGCCATTTTAATGGGAGTCTGATCATGTCAGGACGGATAGCTTTGGCCTCTCTCTATCAAAATAAGACCGTGTGGTGTGTTATTGGGAAAGGAGGGTAGTTATTGGCCGACATCCCTTTTTTTTTTTTTTTTTTCAGAGGAATTATGTAAGTTACTGGATGTTTGATTTGTCACTGAGTCACTCCCTTAAGCTGTACTTGTGTAGGTGTTTTATTAGCAGATAAAATTGAGTGCGTGTTGTTACTACGGTGCAAGAAGTGTTAATTAGTAATCAGTTACAGTAGATGGCTGTGTTTGTACAGGCTTTATCATCGTTTCGGTGTCATTCGGAGTGCGATGTGTAAGAGCGAATATTGTCCCTTTTTTTTTTTTTATCTTTCCTGTGCTGAGCTGAAGGAAGCCACTTCCAGCGGTCATGTCATCGGATTGGAAGTCGGGGAGATGTTTTCGTTTTCCAGCTCAGTCAGGCCCCACAGTGTAAAAGAGCACCAAAACAAACAGTGCGCAGGGAGGGAATGAAAGGGAATACTGTTTGGGAGCACAAACACGGCAGCTCTAACTGTACTTGGAATGCCTTTTCTACTGGATGCCTGGCCACGTGCCAGGCGATAGGGCGAGGGGGCGAGGGGGCCCGAAAGCCAAGGAGCAGTCAGACAAAAGACGAGCCACTGAGCTGACTGAGCGGATCAGCTGGTGGCCACCTTGACCGTGAATAATTATCCACAGAACATCCACCACAGGGGTTTTCAGATTGGTCATAAACAGTTCTATTTGTGCGCACAGATGGAAGACCTTTGACCGCCTTTGTACGTCTTTCTAATGCTTTTTTTTTTGTTCATCTGTTGTGTGCCAGGTCTGTCCGTGTACCGCAAGCTGTTCCAGGGCCAGGAGCCGGCTCACAGATGACACGAAGGCGACCAGAGGCACGTCCTGCCGCTTTGCAGGCCCGACAGGTGTCTCTGCATGTAACCACATCTCACAGAGGTATATTCTGGGAAAGGACAACAGATCAAAGTATGCCAAACACTGAACCGGGTCCTATTAATTTCTCTGTGATACAGCCACAGACATGCCAGGGGATAGTCTGCCAGGCCAGGAATGCCCAGCTTTGACGCAGGTTGGGATTTTGTTGCGCAGCTCCTCCTTCTCTCTCCCTCCCCCCCCTCTTCATCGCCCTTGGCTACAATCAGTCTATATCCCGACAGTTGCCCGCCCTCATTCTCTCCATGCTATTGATGCCACAGGAAGATTTCACTGACAGATAGCCTTCAGCAGATGGCTCTTCAAGCCCTGTTGGTATTTTAACTGCAGGATTCAGTGTTTCATTCTTTGCTCAGGCAGTGGCATGTGCACCCGCGGCCATACATGTAGATTATTTCTTCTAAAAAGATTTTTTTTTTTTTTAAATACAGGTGAGCTGAGGGGTTTTGGTAAGGAGAGACTGACAAGTATTGTGGAGACTGCCTGAGCAGCTTCTCGTCTTACTGAATAGTGAGCATTCAGAGAAGCTGCTTTCATGTGCGGCTCGCAGCGTTTAGACGCCAAACAGTTGCCAAATCAGACCCTCTGCCCTTCACCTAACGACGTGTTGAAGTATATCATCCTTTTTCTCTCGCTGGCTTGATGAGGAGATTCTGATCGTTAGAGCTTGTACATGATTGGTTGTTGCCTATTTACGAGGATGACGTGACACTGTTGCAGCGATGTTTTATGTCAAGAGTGCAGTTGGCTTCTGAATATTCCTGTAAACTGTTGAGATGTTGATATTGTTTCCTCTTGGATGGACCAAATTGAATATTTTTGTTTTGCTAAGTAACTTATTGTCATTGCATCAGTATTTATGTACTGTAAAATCTCCTTCATGAGGTCTTTTTGACCATTTCTGTAGCTCAAAGCATAACATAAAGATGAAGTATGGTTATGCGCAGACTTCTAATGATGGTAAATGCTGCACCAGCAGGTTAATATCCTTGTGTATATTCTGTTCCTTGGGACCATATAGCGAGTTCGCTCAGGGCGTGTTAATAGACTAAAGTATCTCTGTTTTACGTGAGTACATTTACCATATGTTTATGATGACTTGGTCTGAAATACTTGAATTTTGTGCATGACTTTCTCATATCAGCTGGTGACTATCATCAGTGTGACTTTGCACAGATTGTAGTTTTCGATGCAGTACAACAGAGCTGGTTTTAAAACTAAAGTGACGGTGGCTGTTTTTGTAACGTGCGATCGATGTTCAGTTACATGTCGTGGATTTTATTACCGCTGAGGCCAGTTGCATGCTGTATTACTCCGACAGCAGGATCCAAATCAATGTGCGTAATCTACTGTGGTGGTACAACGTTGTTTCCAGTACAATGTTGTAATTTGTTCTGTTCCTTATTGTTTACAATATACACGCATGGAAATGTACGACTTTTTGGGAACAATTTAGGCAGTTTGTAGCAAACAACACTGAACTGAATGCCTAGAAAAACATTAAAGTACGACGACTGTGTCAGTAAATGTTTCTGTTCTTTGATTTCTTCACTGTGATCATTAAAAATCCCCCTATTTCCGTTCAGAATAACCGCTCAGAACAAAAAGAAACTCCGACAGTAATGAAAAATAAAACAAATCTCTCCAACTGTCCATTTTTTAATTAAAAAAAAAAAAAAAAAGTGTTTCCAAGAGTAATAAGAAAAAAAAAACATTTACAGTTTGTGATCTAGTTAAGTTCACTTAGTGACATACATCATCTCATACAACAGAAAGGCTTCACTTTTAAAACGAAACAATCCCTGGAATCACCATCCTGTTGCATTACAGAGGTAAACATAACCATGGAAATACTACTTTGAAATAAAGATCGGTTTCCAGCATGTTTTCTTTTTTTTTTTTTTTTCTTCTTCCTAAGATCTTTTTTATTCAACAGCATTTAATCCTAAACAAACAGTGTTGTAGGGAGCTGCGGCGTGCACAGCGTCAGTTTCCAGCTTGGACATTCAAACGTGTCCCGTGTGTGTGTCAGAGAGCCCAGAGATGTGTTTGCTCTCAGCAAACAATCATTTTTTTATGATACCCTCTTTGACGCATGCTGAGTTTTAGTCTGCATTCTCTGGCATTTTCTCTCTCTCTCTCTTTTTTTTTTTTTTTTTTTGGCTGCAATTATTTAATGTCCTTGAGAATGCATTGGTCATAGCAAGACAATTATTGTTCTGTTCCTCTTTTAGTGAAAACAGGCTTCGATTACCAATATTCACGTGAGATTCAGGCTCTTCAAAATGCTGGAATATATATATAAAAAACAAACAAACAACAGGAGAAACACTGATGTCAAAGGCAATTCAACAAGAGGTCTGATGGGTTCGAGAGCGCTGTTGGTGAAGTGGTGTCTGACAAGTCTTCTAGTTAAATGCTGCCAATGATCGTGAGCAAAGTGGTGGACTGCATTTTTTTTTTTTTTTCTTTTCTTGAGAGAGAGCTTGGGCAAAGGCTGAAGCAGGAGGGGGTGGGGGAAGGAGGTACTCATGGAGGACAAATTGTACCCTGTCCACTTTAATTCCTCATACCCGCTTCTGAGTAGTGCTTTGAGCCGTCGCATCCCGTGTCTCTCGCCCGGGCCCCTCCCCGAAGCCCCCCCAAGTTTTAGCTGCACTTGCAGGACTTGACGACCATGTTTGAGAGCTGCTCGACTTTCGGGGAGCGACCCACGTAGTAGAGGATGGTGAGGGGCTCCAAGTCCTGAGGAACACAGCAGGGTGAGGCGGACGCTTCGGGGTTCAGGGTGTTGTAGAGGCTCAGCAGCTGTAGCAGTAGAGATAGAGAGAGAAGGTGAGGATCTAGAACTACATCATCCAAACAGATTTTAAAGCGTTGCTGCTCTTTGACTCACCGAGCTGTGGGTGGTGTCTGCGCTGCGTAGGTAAGGACAGGGACCGGAGCAGAAGTTAGCGTAGTACCCTTCAGGCTGATGGATCCACCTCCAGCCCAGATCCTGCCGGAAATTAATATATAGTGGTCGCACACAGCAGTTCTCCTCGTAATTGCTGCGGACAAGAGAGGAGAGACAGGATCTGGATGTCATGGATGACACACAATTTTAAGAGTTGTATACATTTTCCACCCTATAGCCTCAGTGTGAGATGAGAGAGACGTGCAGAAATTCCACTCTTAGGTGTGCCCTTATTTTCCCTCTTGGAGTCAGCCCAGGTGTCTTTGGTACTGCCTGTCAGTCTGACAGAGGAAATCCAGAGCCGAGGAGACGGCGTGTAAGAGGAGGTAGCGTTTGCTAGAGCCGGGACAGATCCTGACTTGTTATCAGCTAATACCTCTGCCATGCTCCTCTGAGTGATTAACAAGCTGTGTATTCTGTGCCCACGTTCGCTTCTTCCCTGTCGTCTTATTGAGGAAACTGATATTCTCATGTGATGCCGCTGCGACTTGTGTACAACTTGACAACATAACCCCCTGTCTGCAAGGCCATTCATTTGCAACATTCGAAGCAGCGCAGGGGTCAGATTTCTGAGCTTGGCAGCGCATGTGAGGCCAGAGAAATGATATTTTACAAGGTTAAAGACAATGAACAGTACAACAGTGCATGGCGTTTTCCGGTGCTTGGAAACGGGCCTTACTTGAAGCAGTAATTGGTGTCAAGTGCCCGCTTGCGCCTGCGGGAGGAGGACTGGGCATCCAGCCTGTGGGGAGGCAGCATCATGAGGATGAGGTGGGGGTACGGCTGCTCCTTCTGTTTTTTCACACGGCTCTGCTCGTCATAGTCCATTTCCATACCTGCGGGAGGAAGTCGCTTAGTCTGGAGGACGCCAAGAACAAAAACCTTTGCACAAAGATGCCTGTTCTTCAAGAGCTGATTTCAGCGGAAGCGCGGTTTATTTTGAATCGGTGTCGTCGACTGTAACCTTTTACATAAGGCTCGGCTTCACTCGCTTCTGGCTTTGCTTTTCATCCCTTTCTGTATTTAACACCGGTCCCTCTAACTTCCTCCGTTCTCCCCCCTGGGCCTGTGTCTGCTCATCCAATCTATCCCTGATAGCTAAAGCAGTGGATATCTCAGGAGAGATGCTGCTGGTGGATGTGTACGGCCCTCTTTAATTTGGGGCCAAACGTCTGAGCGCCGTGGCAGCACATTCCTTGTGGCCAAGCCAGTCAGGAGTGTTCCCAGGACCGAGGGCCCGGGGGCCCCAGTGTTAAGTGAGATACCAGATCGATTGTATTCCCATGCTCTGTGTCTCTCTCTTCCTCTTAGAAAGGAAAGCCATTATCTTAACAAAAAGACCTCGATGGGTATCGCTGCGAGAGGAACATTTTGATGACTGGACTGAAAGCAACTTTTGTAATAAGGAGAGCATTGTGTTGTTGTGGTATAGCTAGATTCTCATTCAGAGCTCAAAAGCAGCGCCTCAGGTAACCGAAATCAGCCTGTACAAGCACTAAAACAAGAGGGGTGAGACAGTTAGCAGATTAAAGTTTAATCTACACGTCCAATCGCTGCCATTAGTACGAGCACAAGATGTTAAGAGCTTTGTGCTGCCACGTTAAACATTACAGGAAGAAAACTGGTCATTATGAAATCTCTGAAACACCTAAAACAAGCACTGCAAACTAACATCTGAAAAAAAAACCCTTGAATCAACTAGTCTCGAGACCCACTAATGCAAATCATCCAAAGAAACCAGCGGCGCCTTAATAACGCTAATCAGAATAAACCGAACGTTTCAAACAAAGACGAGATGCCTATCTGGAACATTGGACAAATCAAACGCAAGTCAAACAAACTGAATCGCTATCTGGCTCGTGATCGCGAATACAAACTGGCTGAACATCTTTTCGCTGTGAGGCTGAGAGATGAAAAGCAGAGACAAACGCTGACCAAACACAGACTCGGTGACCACAGTCTGGACACGGAGGCTGGACGACACAGAAGAAAACCTTGGAAACCTGAAGAAGAAAGAGCCTGTGCTCCACACACAATGAACAAGACGGAGAGTGTTTTTGTTTTTTAGGAATTGTCGGATAGGATATACACCTATTTGGTTTCTTAAATATGAAGTTACAGCTTTATATTTACTGCACAGGCACGAGAGCGGTGTCGGTGGTAGCATCTAATCTGTCAGGTAGTGTCTAATCAACTTTATACTAATGTCGACTTTTTAAAAACTTATTTCCTTCTTTTGTCTACTTGCTCATCAGTCTGAAACCTTTACACCTCGTTAAAATGAAGTTTAACCGAACAAAAATCCAAAATCCAAACCATCTTAAACGATCAACTGCAACCTCACCTTTGAACTTGACCTCCAGCACCTCGTTGGCGTTCTCGATGATATCCCCGTTAGGCCTGAAAGTGTGGCAGGGACAGTGCACGCTGATCTCCAGGCCAAGGTTGGTCTCTGAGGGGGGAAACCAGAGCAGGGGGATGTAAGGAGATGGCATTTTTCCCTGAGGCCATTATCCTTCCTTTTTTTAAAAAATGAAGCAGTACTTTTTTTCTTTTTTTTTTTGGCAGGATATGTAATAAGGTGCGATGCGAGGAAAATTCGAGGTGTCCCACTCACGTCGGTACATCAGCCACTCCCTCACTGTCTCTGTAACATCAAAGGAGACCCACTCAGGCGTTCCCTTGGTCAGGACGTTCTTGCCCCCGATGTAGCGCTGTTTGGCTTTGGGGTCATCTTTCTGGAGGATCTGTGAGGAAAGATGAAAATGTGACCCAGCTGCATAAACTCTTTTATTTTTACACACACACACACACACACACACGCATATACACACAGAACCGAGGCTGTCTGTCTGAGCCAGACTCTCCAGGATGCCTTGGGCCAAATGTCTACTCTTCATGGAAAAAGTGACTCCCTGTGTTGATATCCCCATTTTGCAAGTTAATGCCTGCGTGTTACCCTCTTGCCAATGAGAACCTGGCTGTCCTTCACATCAGCCATTCAAACTTTGACTTAAGCTTCTCAGATGTAGTGTCACACAGTTCAGATGAAAGCACCTCTGAGGGCATTTATGTCTTAACTGTGTTATCGTGTCAAAAAAAAAAGAAACGACAGAGGAAAATACAACTTTGAGACATTTATATCTGCAGCAGCACAAAGGTGTTTATCTGTGGTGCGAAATGTGTGTTTGGGTGGTGGGTACGAGCACTTAGCCCCACAGCAGCGCCATGGATAACCAGGTTCCTGAACATTGTCAGCATCTAATCTGTCTTCCTGTGGGAACGAGGGGCCAGAGGACTGCCAGCGTCAGCCCGCTGCCAATCAGCTCCAGCCTGAAAAGTGTGGGGGCGAGCGAGCGGCTCCATTTACTCCCCCGGTGGGTGACCCTGCCTCTATCTCCTCCTAGGCCCCTGGAAACAATCTGAGGGCCTGACAGTCTGTATTCAGCGCTGGCCAGAGCCTTGCCTCAGAGGCGGTATGCAGTCCGGAGACGCTTGTCTCCCTGGCAGGAAATGTTGGAACCTGATCATTACTCCTAGTCTCTCACGGGAGATTAATGAGGAAACAGAAAAAAAAAAAAACAATCTATTCTTGCCACCCCACACACAGACATCTACCAGATGTATGCTTTAGCACACTTCAAAAAATGCTCATAAACACAAAAATGCAGGGGGCAGATCTATATATGCCTGACTGGATCTAACATGGACGGACAACTGCTTTGAGATTGACAGCTATAAGAAAAGAAAAAAAGTGCCGAATGGTAATCTGGGGTTTCTTAAAGACGGCTGCACAAGCTCTTAAATTTGACCTAATGTAGAATCCATTTGACTATAAGCACATGGAATAATGATCAGCACTTGAAAAGAGGAGAGAGGGAGTTGGACACCCTAATATAAATGTTTTCATCTTTCTCGCTGACCTACACGGGCCTTCTGAGAGAAGTGGAGCACATAACCCCCCTGTGCTCTGCTAACAGTGGAAACCAACGGTCAGTTCACACACCTGGTAGAGCTCAATCCTCTGCTCGTTTTTCTTGGCGCTGGGGTTGGGGATCCGCAGGGCTCGAAACTCAGCCCGGAACAAGTTGGTGGAGTTCTTCTCCATGACGGACACGTTGAAGCGGAATACCTTGGAGGTGATACCCTTGGGGCAGTAGGGGAGGTCATCTGCAGGTAAAGTGGAAAATCGTGACTCATCAGTGGCTTTAAAAAACATTGTGAAATATCTCAGATTTTATTGTTCAGCTGTTACCTCATTGTGTACATGTTATCAAAGCCCCCTTTCTGTCTCCACTGACTTCCAAGGGTGGACATGTTTACCTCCTGATTATTGATGAGCTTTTTGCCGAGGATTCCCCTAAATAGTTTACAGATAAAAACAAAAGTTCCACCTTCTTTTTTCTTTTTTTTTTTAACTATTTCTAGTCCATTCCACGGGGCCATTACCCCAAACCATCTGCTTATACTTTTGTGCAGTCCAAGTTAGCAACAAGTTGAAGTCATGAAATGAAAACCAAATGTCCCATGTGGTAGTGGAGCAGGCTACAGTGGGACAGCAGCGTGCTGCTCCTCCTCCTCCCACCAGCACTTGAGCCCAACAGGTGCTCCGAGGGCTCGGACGGACGCCAAGTATTCCCTGGAACTCGGAGGTTTTAGCCACGAACATGTGGACTCACATGCTGGAGCGGAACAATACCTGAGCAACCGCCGAGGAGGGAGACAGCATCACGACAGCGAGGCCACCGAGAGGAACAATAACTTGCTGTGCACCTTAACATTTTTATGTGTGTGTGTGTGTGATTGCACGCTGACCTTTGGCAGAATCAGATAAATAACCGGCCACACTGTGATCCTATCTGAAAAGCTTCCTGTTGCATTGAAGCCTTTCCCCCTTTTTTTTATACCATAAAAACCATTGAACAGTTTATTATTTTAACAGGCAGAGCACATGCAGTGTTGAGCAAAACAAGCACATAGCAAACTTTTTATGAGCCAAGTGGAAACAGTCATTTACAGCCAAGCCTTGGCTAATTTATTACCTCAAGCTTAAGCTTTATTACCGAGCCTCAGGATTTTGCTGGTGGTTGAAAGGGGGCATTGCACCTTTAGCTGATTTGCACCTCAGGCAGTTTTTCGGGAAAAATGGAAACTCAGAAGTCGAGTTGTTTCTGTGTCATGCGAAAGGAACTTTCACATCTCCAAGTATCTGTACTTCATTTGACCCATAATCCTATTTCAGTGTCCTCCCAGTCATTATCTGATATTTCCACAAAGTTTTTTCTTTCAACTTTCCCTATTTATAGGTGACCTTTTCAGCATTCATCCCCAGCCACATATCTGTCCAGTGTTTCCACACACAATCTATAAGGAGGAAACCTCAGTAGCCTTTTCCTCCCCCTCACTCACTACTCTGTCTCCCCCTCTCTCCCCTCCCACCCACCACCTCCCCCACAGAAGGTGGAAAGCCCCACTTCGAGGGGAGATTTGAAATTCTAATCAAGTCTTTGGTTTCCTTTTGGATGACCTCATTTTTCCCATTGCAATGGTTTTAGGTGGATTTCACATTATGGCTTATTTTTGCCAAGGGTCTGAAAGGTAATTTGTTCCATGTTGGTGAGTGGAGGGGGATTGCTTGTATAATTAAAATGAGCTACATTCACTAATTTTTTGACCCCTTCCATTTTTTAGATGTTAGCTCTTCAGACTGAGTGTCAGGATGCTGACACAAGCTTAGCCTGGAAACTCTCTCACAAAGCACAGGTTCATTTCAATAAGCTTCTCCGGAGGCCTAATTTCTACGAGTTAATCCACTCAGAAATGAAAGATTCTGTGTTTTATGTGCAATTATAAAACAGTTATGTAGACCCATTGTTGTGCCTGATGATTCACTGAAATAACGCACCCTCCTTAGATCCAATCCCAATTAGAGAATTTATTTATTCAGAGCTTTATTGGGGGATATTCTCATTAACACGTTAACAAAAGTGCATTTATAGCCACGTATAAAAGCCCGGATAACAAAATGATGCCCGTTTGATTCCATTCGCATATTATCACTCAATTAATTTGAGCATAGACGGGTTTTAAAGGTTTTAAATGAGGGATTTAGAAGCGAAGTTGTGCAGACAGCCTCAGGACAGCCTGGCATTAACAGCCTGGTCCAGACCAACACCTGACACCAGCTCAGGCCTCCTGTGTCTGGGATCCTCTCATGACACAGAATTCCCTGATAAAAAAAAAAAGCTCTCAGGAATCACCTCTGGTTGCCCTTTTGCCCAGAGGATAGCCGGTGATGTCAGTCTCTCCAGAGCTTTGAGGAGGTAAACAAAGGAAATACGAAGCATAAGTCGGCAGGTGCTAGCCAGCTGCTGTGGTGTCTAGATCTCATAAAGCATGACACAAATTTCTTTGGAAATGCATTAGCTGGCGTTTTGTATTATCTGCTTAAATTGCAGCATCTGGAATTTGAACTAGTTTGCCCCGATGGAAAAGTTTCACTCACCAATTACCCTAGAAATAGACATTAAGGTTCTAGTGAGCAGTATTTTTCTTTTAAAAAGTCCAGTTCCTTCATTCATCTGACTGTGGACTCTTGACTGTTACAGGCCACAACAGATGATGAGATAATACCACGGACCTCTGCTGCGAAGAAAAACAACTTTTCCCCACTTGATTAAAGATGAGGAAGCAAAAATGGTCAAGGCGTGGGAGTGAGCTGGAGAGATGCTGTTTCTCTGGGCGCAGGCCAAAGACCTCTGTCTCTGTTTGTGCAGATGACATCATCTTTCTACTATCCCATATATCAGATACCCTGCTGTCCTCAGCGCAAGTCCTCTTTTTTTTTTTTTTTACTGACCCAACAATGAGTCAATGATTGGCTTGAAATTTCACTGAAACTGCACGTTCCAGTGTGCGAGGCACGGTCGGTCGGTGGATTCCTAAAATGCTGTCGTGCCACACTCTGATGCGCCACAAAAGGAAGCTCTAAGCCGCTGCCCTGTCTCAGCTTTGCCTCGTTTACTCATAAATGGCAAATACCTTGATTTGCATTAGTAGTAGCGTCTAGCAAAGTAGTCTGGAGCAAGCGGTGCATTCAAGTATGAGAGAAAAGTTTCTGTTTAACTTCTTAACTGAGCATGAAAAAAAAAAAGAAAAGAAAAAAAAAAACTTGACTATATTCCCAAACACTCCCACCTTCCAAAAACAGTGAATGTAAAAGTCATTATATCCAGCAGGAATGAAAATGAACTACACTGCAAAATTATCAAGGTGACAGACATTATGTTCCTACACACTGCAACATGCCCAGCTCCCCTTAAAATTACATAATGGAAAGGGAGAGAAAAGTGTTAATTAATGTATGTTGGCGCCTTCTGTTAATTTGAGTAATATCTTCCGTGGATAAGCTGTCGGGCAGAAGGTGCTGCCAGTAGTAAGTCAAGTCCGCGTCTTGTATTATCACCTACAGTACGGCCTACAGTAAGAGACCAGTGATGTGTCCTGGGCACCTGGCCATCACTGATCCCACTCCTTAGACCTCTGTTTGTTTTGGGAGCTCTGGCTACCTCTGACCAGTGGATAAACCCCGAGCTGTGTATTTTGAATGTCAGAAGCACTTTGTGGGACCTGTGAAATGGATTTGATTCAGGGCTTACGCTGGAAGCGGCAGAAGCTCTGCTCAGTGTCACAGCGCAGCACAAACACCTGTTGATTTCAAACTGGTAACACCACGCACCAACCGGCCTCTGACCGTAAAAACAGGCACAGATCCAGCTGCTCCATTTAAAAAATAAAAAAAAAGAGGCAACTTTCTGTGGAAGAATCTGCTGCTCGGTGAGCTTCTGCTTCTGATTTCTGGAACAATCAATGGGCCATAGTTTATACAGGAAATACCAATATGGATGAACAAGGGAATAAGATCATAACAAGGAGCTACTCGAAAAGAAATAGTAGGGAAATAGAAAGTGAGTAACAGTGGATGAAAAATATTGGGGAACTCAGGGCCAGAAAATGGAGATGAGGTATTGGAGTTGGCAATAAATACTAGACTTAACAGCCTGAGAATTTTCCTCGCTTAGGAATGTGTCAGACTTAGGCTGGAGTTCCCATGGCTTTGGTGTGAGGTATGTATGAGGAATGGTGCTCATTCCAATTAGACTGTTTACTTTGCCCTCTCCTTTGCGCGACGCTCCACTGCTCACTGGCGCGTCTGTGCGTAAAAGCTGCACAGACACGAGTGGACTTCAGAGCAGCTGGAAAAATTACATTCTACTTTTTGACATTGTTTCGTCGCCTTATCATTATTATTACTACTATTATCATCGTGGCACGATTAAACCGTTGCTTTTAGGTGCGTAAATACATTTGGACAAGTCAGTTTTGGATAAAGTTTTGGCGTCTACCACTGAATGTGCACACAGGCAAAATAAAACTTTAAATCACCTGCGTCTAGAACAGAAACGGTTTGAGTTTATTGGATGGGAACCGATGAAAGACAAATATTTCACGAGCAAAAACAAAAAGACTCACTGTTTTCTGGCGGACCATTGATCATGTTGAACTTGTAAATCTCTTTGGCGTAGTACTCAGTCTCCGTGTTATCCTGCCCGCAACTCTGCTGCCGGTCTCTTCCCAGCTCCTCAATGAGCTCCTTGGTGCTGTTATAAAGGGCCAGAACCTGAAACGGTACCTGACTTGGACCTGTTGTTTGAGGCGGACTGGTCATCCGGAGTTTACTGAGAATCTGTCCCCGGACCGCCTCCACTCTCTTTTTCTTGATGTGGTCGATGTCCACGGTGGTGCAAGTGGATAGCGAGAAAGTCATTGTCACACAATTTGAGAGGAGGAAAAACAGAAGTGCTTTGCCCAGATTCATATTTCACTCTGCGTTCACTCACAACCGAGACTTGTCAAGTAAAAGAAGAAGAAGAAGGAGAAAAAAAAATCCGATTTGAATAGAATCCCTTTTATCTTTTCATTCAGGTCGTGAGTGAGTTCTGTTCCTGGAGGAATCCCATTTTCTCAAGTGCTATGTCATCTTTGCAAAATGCGCATTTGCATGGGAGCAAATCCGTGCCATTTTGGAAAATAACCTCAATTCCTCATCAAAACCCTCAATTATACTCTTCATTCCCTCTTGTCTCATTCAAGCACCTCTCCTCTTTCTTTTTGTTCTCTTTAGTTTACAACGGGCCGATCTCTGCACCCTGGTTCAGTTTCTCCATTGCATGCAGGCTCTTTCCATCCACTTGTGCTCGTGGAGCCAGTGCGCCTCTTGTTATCTTCCCGCAGTCCAACCTCAACACACACTCAGACGCTTTCCACTCTCACTCATACTTTATAGTCACAAGCTGTGACGTTTCTGAGGGAGGGGCAGCGAGTTGTAGCCTGCGCTCGGACAATCAGATCTGTCCTGCTCTCAAATAAAACGAGACATTTGAACATGCCAAATCTGTTTTTCAGTCAAATGCGCGTAAAAACTGGGCGATGCGATTACGCAAGAGAGAAACAAAGGGTTGCATTGATTTGTCAAGAATATTTCTTTTTTGTTTTCTGTCCTTTTCACGCATGGAGTGGATAAATACCATTCGTGTTTTATGAATATGATTGAAATGAAGCGGTGCATTTCTGTGTGCTCGTACACTTCCATCAGTTAAGGACACACAGGTTATGTGGGGGTCACTGAGTGCACAGTGTTGGGGATATCCAGAATAAAGCTTTAGAGGGAAATCAAATGCTGATGGAGGGCCAAAGTTAACAAAGAGGATCTTGAAGGTGCACAGGGGAGCAGCCAGCTGCTGTGATCCGCTGCATGCTGCTACCGTTCAGCGGCTCCACAGCGAATGTAAATATGAGCAACAGGGACATCTAGCGGACAAATGGAGCAACTGCAGGTCCAGTTGTTCCTCTGACTAGGGACCACAGAGTGTCTGTGTTTGGGACAGTTACAGACCACTACAGAAAGAGAAAGCCTAATGGGGATGATGGAGCTCTGTTCTGAAGATCCATCTGATGAAGGGTGAGGTCAGCAAAATGGTAAAGACTTGTGAAAGAGGAAAATAAGCTGTTTGTTTGGGAACTGTTTGGTTTAGGGTGACACTGCTCACTTGGAGGCATCATTCATATTTCTTAGGGAGCTCCTGTGTGAAAAGTGGTGCAATATTTTTAGATGAATTCAGAACTAAATTCAGTTAAATGATATATTATTTGTATGTGCAACCATTTGGCTAAGTTAGTATATAACCAGCTGATGGATTCAAGTGATAAATCTGCTCACCTCTCGTGTTCTATGAGATTCTATTGTAATAAACGGTTCAGATTTTCATTTCACACAAATGCCACCGATTCAGTGATTACTTTTACATCCTCTCTGGTTGGAGGGTAATCAGTGAAATCGCCGGTCTGAGATTTGTTTCATAAGCAAGAAGGACATGATTATACTGTAGAAGACTATGGGTTCAAAAAATGGTTAAAAGAAAGTGGTAAGAAAAAAAAATCTGGCAGCAAGGGTGCCAGAAGAAAAAACTGTGTTCATACAGTCAACACGTAAATTAATACTTTTTTTTCTGCAATTTTGCTGGGTATGATCTGTAATTTCACAATACGTGGAATTCTGTAAAATTAAACTTAGCATTTTTCTAATTCCTAATATCGATAGCAAAGCAAATATCTGTTAAATATATTTATATATTTTGTTTCTTTAAATACAGTAAAAAAAAAAAAAGCGTAATATGACAGTCAACTGTGTAAACTAATTACATTTTTTTTAAATTACATATTTTTTTATGTGGACATTATTTATTTTGGCCTGTTTATTTATTTGTTTGATGATGTTTTTTATGGTCATTATGTAAATCAATTTACTTTTTTCTTGTGATTTTTTTTCTGAATATTTAAGCTAGTCAGGTTAATTAGTATTTTAGATAATGTTGTAGGATCTTAACCTTAATATTTAATTTAGTCACATACATATTTATTTTAAATATTATTGTAAGGTCCTAAACGTAATATTTAGTTAGTCAGGTACATTTTTATTTTACATATTGTTGTGGGGTCTTAACCGAATTGTTTTTAATTACTCTGGTACATTTGTATTTTACATACAAGTGTAGGGTCTTAACCATAATATTTAAAATATTCTGGTACATTTCACAATAAATAACACTGCAGGGTGTTAACCTTAATATTTAACTTGTTGGGACAATTGTTAAATACAAACTATTTCTCACTGGGAGAGCACTTTGGCCCGAAAGCTGCTGATTTAAACGTGCTGCATCCAGCAGGCTTGACTGTGAAGGGCACGCGCTGTCCACGTTACCATGGAGAGCGTTGCTACGTGACGCTTCCTGATATCCAGGAAGAGACGCTGGCGCTTAGCTGCAGCAAGGAGGAGAAAAATGGAGGATAACTTTCAGCTCGGAGAGACGGGAGCGGTGAAAAGTGTGAGTGACCTGTTGGAATCTTACTTAACGCACTGAGGAAACAGAGCTTAAGCTAACATTAGCTTTAAGTGCTGTGAGATGAAGCCACAGAGTAACGGTGCACCGAAGCTAGCGTTAGCTATTTAGCTAACAACAGCTAGTGTAAACCCCACTGTTAGCCAGTATGTGACTGAGCTAGCTGTTTAACTCACCGTTTACCAGCAAAGACGCTATCATTTGCCGATTTTGACAGACGGCAGGGGAGGGTTTGTCTACTTGTTCCAGATCAACTGGCGATCAGATCAACTGGCGATATTCAGTCAGCGAGGCAGCTGTTCCAGCGGCAATATAGATTGTAGGTGACTGTGGATACGCCTGTTGAAAAAAAACGTCTATAAACTCTTGCAAAATGTTCTTGCTGTCAGCTTTAACACTGGTTCCACTTATCGCTCGTGCTCTGTTGTGAGTCAAGGTTGTTCAGCCTACAAGTCAAACACAAGGTTTGAAGAGAGCTTCACCCGGTGGAGTCACAGTCTGACCAGATTAACTTGTGATAGTATGCGGTGTCAGTCCGACGGTGAGACAGAAACACGTTCTAGTTTAACTGGCGACCCAAGTTAACTGACGGTGTTTGCTGTATTGACCCTCCAGATGATCCGTTTGCGGATTTATCCGACCAGACCTGTGTGTGCGTGTGACCATAAAGATGCTATATAAAGAAGACCTCGTCGACAAACGTAAACATCACTAGTTAATGAAGCCTATATCCATGTCAGTATCATCTACAGACAGCAAAACCAAACATGCTGACCAAAATAAAAAAAAAAAACACGTATTTTTGAAGTCCGGTGAGAGGATTCGAAACCACGTCGAGAAACCGACGTGCTGGACAGATCTGAACTCTTTCCCTGTCATCATATGATACTGTTTTATTGTGTCGACAGTGAGATTACACAGTCAATGTAAGTCGTTACCTAAACCTACATTTACAATTTTGGATATTAGGATGACCGCTGTTTAGAATAGTCGAGGAGAAAAGATGTTGCAGCGTATTTGGGGGAAAAATGACCAAAATCTGCCTGATACCGTCTCTAGAATCTCCTAAACTACAAGGAACAACAATAACCTCGCACAGCTAAGCAAAATGAGGTGCAACTTACTGAACTAACAAAGTTTTATTGAATGTTTGATCATGTAATGAGGCAGCCCAGACAGAACTAAGTGTGAATGTTTCACCAAAACAAGTTCCCTCGTCATTCTTTCAAGGGGAGATTTTGCTGCATCTGAGGCGTAGCACTGCACACAAGCTTTGTGGCTGGTTTGAAGAAATACAAAGATCAAGACGGAGACATTGTTTTTCCCGATAGCAGAATGATAGTGATGCCAGACCCTTCCACACAGAGCTGTGACAAAGGCCTAGCCGCCGATCCGTTGCTATGTTTTGGTACTTCATTATTTAGAAAGGTCACATTCCTACATATATCACGATAATATCACTGCTGCAAAAATACTGCTGTAAAATGGAAAAATGTCCTTAATGAAAAGCAAAACTTAATGGAGCTTAGGATTTAGCTGCGTGACAAATTACTTTAACTGCAGCTGACAGACTGACTTTGTGTGATAGCTTATTTGTCTGAAGTGTGTGAAAGTTTGCAGTGTTTTACTGTTAGATCCCGACTGACCCCGTCTCCGTAATTTCTAAATATAAGAATTATTCATGTTCCGGATGTGTTGTGCGTAAATGCAGCCACCTCTGTCACTTTGAAGACATCCATATGGGTCCTGCTGCTGTTGGATGCTGCAGGCGTGTAATGAACTCAGAGGAAAAACTAACTAACACCAAACTAAACTTCAGCTCCCGTTAAAACTTTGAAGTCTTTGTGTACGCCTCTCTCAGCTAAAGGCACGCAAGCTGTGGCTCTCTGTGATGTTTATGGACATCCGACTGGCTGCTACCCGAAACATCTAAAGGTGCTTTCACTTGCACCCAGACACTGTAGCTGTATTCTGTCTGAAACTTAGACATCAAACTTTACGGGAAAGAGCTTGACTGATCTCACTGGCCAATGAGATGTCATGGGTGGCCATGTCCCCACCAGGGACCCCTTAGATGTGCCAGTGTGCTGATTAAAATTTCCCTTTTGTGTGTTAAAATATGGAAAATCTATCACAGGGCTACACTTTGAGACAGACAACCAAGCACACTCACATTCACACCTACGGACAATTTGGAATCACCAATTAACCTCAACATGTTTTTGGACCTTGTGGGAGGAAGCTGGAGAACCCGCAGAGAACCCACGCTGCACGGGGAGAACATGGAGACTCCACGCAGAAAGATCCTGGGTGTCCTGCAAAAAACATTTATTTAAAAATGTTGAAAAATAAAAACACTCAACTGTTCTTAATTAGCAGAAAGGCAGTCTTACGGTGCTTTGTTATGTCTAAGTTTCTCTACAGCCAGATGAATACAGAGACACATGAATAATTCTCTTATCATGTGCAAAAGAAGAACGTAAATGAATCCAGTGTGACTTCACAGAATTGAAAGTAATACAGAAGCAAAAGAATGTGGTTGATTTACGCAAATGGAACAACCTGACCTACTGTACTTTGTGTGCATTCAGACAGCATTTGGTCGTCTCATTAGATCTCACAGTAAAAGCAAAGCAAAGACCACAAGTATTCAGTAACCATCGCAATGTCTGGCTTTCAGAAATCTAAATATATTCCCCGTGTTAAAATGATGCACATTTCCCAGGTTGCCAAGTCTGGACGAAGAGCTCGCCTGGCAGCAGACCAGTCGTCGTTTGAAGATTCTCGCTACGTGAGGAAGTCCTCCACCTCTGCTTCGGCAGGAGAGGTACGCGATCACATGACAGCAGACAG